TTATGAACAGAAGGGGCTCTTTCTCAAGAAGTGACCAATCATTTTCTTCCAATGGATACATCCAGGCGTCTAAACACACGCCGATTGGCACACAATCCAAGGCTATCAAAGACTTGATTACAGTCGACGAACCGTACGAATGACCCATTAATATGATTTTGTTGAGATCCAAGAGACCCGACAACTGATCCATTTTAAACTCACTCTTTAAGACATTTTGTATTTTAGATCCGATTTGGATGTCATTTATTAAATCTATAACTCTCTTGATTTCAGTCACTCTGCAATCGAGTTGTTCCCTACGAATCGGTAGGTCGTTGTCGTAGAGCTTGATGTGACGGAAAGGAAGCCATTTGAATGACCCGTCGCTGGACGGGTAGAAAGTGGTGACCGCCGACTCGTCTCTGTGTTCAACCACTACAGCAAACAAACAATTAATTTAATTGGTTTAGAACAAGATTCTAACCGAAGACTATAAATCCATGTGAAGATAATTCAGTGCAAACACTGGAATAACTGGTCCGACAGCCGGCGTTTCCGTGCGAGAAGATAATGATAGGGAACTCATGTCCTTCTGGTCGAAGCGGATCCACGTTCTCGAGTATTGGTATGAAGTAATCGGCACCCAAAGCGGTTAACACTCGAATAAGTGGATTCGGTAAGTTAACCGCTTTTAGATAACCTGTCTTATAATTGTCATGCGGTGTCCACTTCGCCCACTCCTTCACCCGCGTCCTGATATCTGTCGTCTGATCCAATGCCGGATAGAGTACGCGAACTAATATACCATCGTTTTTATCACTTCCAGTCATAATATCCACAAAACCAATGTTAGGATACGGACCGCTTGGAAGCGGTAAGTGATACCGACTACCGGTGCACAAACTTCGATCCCGTTTGATGGCCATTGATATGCAATAATCTTTGAAATAAAACTGTGGCAACACTTGCGATGACTTATTAAACAATTAATGTTTAAGTGATGAATTTTTTCACCAAAAGTAAGTTTATATAAACACAATTATCACTCAAATGTACCCAACGTTCAGATGATTAAAGTATTGTCCTGTGAATTAAAGTCTATAAGACAAGTGCTTACTTAGTCTCCACTATTTATCAGACATTCAAAACTTTTGAAAGTTTAAAAGTTTTATTTTTACAACAAACTCTTTTAAAATAAGTATAAACAAGAATTTTCAATAAATAAGACAATTATTATATCAAATCAATGCCTAATAATTACAGTTTTAGACAAGGAATATTTTGTGAAAAGTGATATTAATTAGTAAATCATTATTTATTTATTCAATAAAGAATAGTCACATCTTTTGTAAACATTTCCAAAGTGATAATTTTAATAATTATAATTTACATCATAATCTATACTAAAGAGCCTATATGTACAACGAGGACAATTTAATCCTAATTAAAGCTCATTTGTTTGCCACAAACTCGGATCGATTCCGTCGATTAGTTTTTTGCCGTATTTTTCTATGATTTCCTTTTTGTCTTTTTTGAGTTTCACTTAAATTAAAATAAAATACAATTTAGACATTAATGAAACATTTTGTGATATTTAGCTCACCTTTAAGTTTGTCTGCAATGAAGTCAAGTGCGAGACCAGTGGTCAAGTCGTGTGCGACAAACGGATCCACTTTTGACTTCATTCCGAATAACCAGAGGAGTGGCGGCGGAAGTGTAAACGGAATGTCGCTCTGATCGGTATGTTTGGCCTCTTTTATTGTAATCACTTTTCTGTCGGTAGTATTCGTGCCATTGATTCCAATGTAATCCTTCATACGTTTGAGATTTGGTTTGTTTTGAAAAGTTTGCATATTTACGAACAGAAGGGGTTCTTTCACAAGATTGGACTCATTCTCCTCTACCGGATACAGCCAGGCGTCTAAACACACGCCGATTGGCACACAATCCAAGGCTATCAACGACTTGATGACAGTCGACGAACCAAACGAATGGCCCATTAATATGATTTTGTTGAGATCCAAGAGACCCGACAACTGATCCATTTTAAACTCACTCTTTAAAACATTCTGTATTTTATTTCCGTTTTGAATGTCATTTATTAAATCTATAACTCTTTTGATTTCGGTGACTCTGAGGTCGAGCTGTTCCCTACGGATCGGTAGGTCGTTGTCGTAGAGCTTGACGTGACGGTAAGGAAGCCATTTGAATGACCCGTCGCTGGACGGGTAGAAAGTGGTGACCGCCGACTCGTCTCTGTGTTCAACCACTATATCAAACAAACAATCAATTATTCATTTAATTTGTTCATCTTTTTTACACAATAGCTATTTAATAAACAATATTCACTATATATTGAATGACTGATTGCTTTTGATATTAATCTTTAGTAAAATGTTTAAAACTAATTACAATTGCCTTCAAGTTTGTGATATATTACACTTAATGCCTACACGAAAGTCATGAACAAAACTCATCCATTATGTGATAGAGTTATCAAAATATCAATAAAATAAAGTTCATCTCATAATAAGACAATAATTATTGTATTCATATTCTGGTCCATCATTTTGTGTATAATAAAGATATCTATTTCCTAATTATGTTTCAAAACATGTTTCATTGTTTTGTAAATATTCAAAGTTTTGACAAAAATTATCCATAACTTTAAACTTTGCAATTGATTTAGAATAAGATTCTCACCGAAGACTATAAATCCATGTGAAGCTAATTCAGTGCAAACACTAGAATAAGTGGTCCGACAGCTGGAGAGCCCGTGCGAGAAGACAATGATAGGGAACTCATGTCCTTCTGGTCGAAGCGGATCCACGTTTTCGAGTATTGGTATGAAGTAATCGGAACTCAAAGAAGTCACTAACCGGACGAGTGGATCCGGTAACTTAACTACTTTTAGATATCCCGCCTTATAATTGTCATGCGGTGTCCACTTCGCCCACTCCTTCACCCGCGTCCTGATATCTGTCGTCTGATCCGATGCCGGATAGAGTACGCGAACTAATATGCCATCGTTTTTATCACTTCCAGTCATAATATCCACAAAACCAATGTTAGGATAGGGGCCGCTTGGAAGTGGTAAGTGATACTGACTACCGGTGCACAAACTTCGATCCCTTTTGATAGCCATTTATATGCAATGATCTTTGATATGTAAAACTGTGGCAACACTTGCGAGGATTTATTGAACAATTAATGTTCGAGTGATGAACTTCTTTACCAAAAGTACGTTTTTATAAACAGAATTTGCACTCAATTGTACCCAACTTTCAGATGAGTCAACTATTTTCCTGCGAATTAAAGTCTATTTATGAGACAAGTGTTCACTTTTTCCACTTATTTACCAGACATTGAAATCTCCGGTAATGTCTAAAATAATTTTGAAACCAACTGTTTATAAATACGTTATAAACAAAGAATTTTCGGTAAACGAGACAATAATTAAATTTCAACCGTTATATTAATTTTAATAGCATTTAATAATTAAAAGTGATAAGAATAACAATATTTTTATTTATAAAAATAAATCAAAAAAGCATAACGATAAAACCATTGCCACACATTATCACATGATAAAATGCAATTGAAATATGAAAAGTCATATCTTATTAAATATATCATATTTACCATACATTGTAATGACGAAAGAAAGTACTCTTTCCACTAATATTACGATTAGTTTGACTTTCAATGCATTGAATGTCGGATCCATTAAGTGCTTTAAGCATGAGATCAGAATAAGTNCTTTCAATGCATTGAATGTCGGATCCATTAAGTGCTTTAAGCATGAGATCAGAATAAGTGACTATTTTTGTATTTAAAATCTCAATCTATGTCTAAAGTAGAGGTATTCCGGATCTCAAGGAATATTACATACAATTACTGTATCTGTAATAGCGTGCCATCTAATTGAGACAATACATCGGGGTATTAAGAAATATAATATTAGACATTGTTTGTAGTGAATGCTTTACTCCCACTTGAATTCTATAGACAATTCTATATATACCGTAGTCTATGGGTTGTCGTCATCAAAAGGGTTATGCGTTTTTCGAAATAAGGGGTGCTATTAGTGATTGTGATGGGAATATGTATAACTGTATTAAGTAAATGAATACCGTGAATATCATGGTGAAATGGGGAATTAACCTTAATAGCTTATTCGAAATATTTTTTGTTAATCTGTATTGAGTAATAGTAAAACATACTGTACTGTGAATTCCATGATATAGTCCTTGGGCTGCAATCTGTGGGTATTAGAGATAACTTTATATATACAAGTCGTTAAGATTATATGTGAAATAAATGAACAAATTGTTGAGATATTCTTCGAAACCGAAGAAATGATGAAATAAACAAAGACTAGAATTCGAGTCAACTTCAATGTATGCACTTATTTTTTGGGAATTATTTGTTACATTGGATTCTTATTAGTAATAATAAGTTATTACCCGTGGATTATATTGAATTAAATCATGGAACATTAAATTAAATTTAATTTATATCTACAGTATATGTAATGTACAGTACTGTATTAACATTAGAAATATACATAATGTAACATTAATATACAGTATAAGTGATGCATGAATAATATTTTAATTGGAATAAAAATTGAAAAATTCTATCATAATTGTGATCACTTCATCAAATCCAATCTATTGATATCTCACATGACATATACTGTATATCAGTTAAATATATAATCAAAAATATTTAATATAAATAGTCACAACTCCGAACCTAATGTCATAGACACTTGCCTACTGTACCAATAGAGATTTCACATCTTGAATTATATTATGTATACTAAAATATATAAATTAAATGCAATTTTACGTTTTATGATTTAATCTAATATACCGAGACCGGCACTGTAAGTACTTAGGAATTGCTTGCAATACACGCCTTACAGTTAACACTCTGTATATAATTAATACGTTTTCCTTATATAACTTGTACATTTAATTAAATGTAAAAATGTTATAAATATTTGTTTAATGTTATTTATATGTTTAATGTTTTATTCATAACGTAAAAACATATTTTACAAAATCTATTGTGTAAGAAAACTTATTAATTGTATACTGAGAGTTAACTGTATTTCAAAATAGAGCGTGTATTGCAGGCAATTCCTAAGTACTTACAATGCCTGTCTGGGTAGTTTAACATAGAATGAGTCAAAACGATAATTATTTTGTCTGAAATATAGTTTATTGCAAACTATGGCTAAAAAATAGGAAGTCTGGTCCCAAATGATAGCCAATGACAATAAATATATAGATATTAATTAAAAGCAACGGGAACTGGTCGTGACCGGTATATTCTCTTATATACTCTACGTTAAACTTAATGTACTTTAATTGACAAATAAATGATTACAAGACATAGATTGGGATTTGAGATATTTATTTTGTAAAACAATAATTAATTATAATTTACTGTGAATTATATAAACAACACATCATTGGAAACAACAAAAATAAAATACATGTTTGATTTGAATACATGTAGTGTTTTATGAGCCAAATATTTAATCCAAAAGTTAATTAAAACTAAGAAATTCTTGCAGAGAATTAACGAAATAAACAGTTTTGTAATCCGATAAACGATTTTCTTCAATAAAAGCTCATTTACTTTTAATTACTTATTTTCTATTCATATCGTGTATAGTTTTATATAACGTTTTATTTAATTTAAAATTAATACTATTTCATATGATATTTGAGGAAATATTCACAAAATAGTGATTAAAATCTTTTGTAAATTAATTTTTAAAAATTCTTAAGTCTTAAAAACCTTAACCCAAGTTCAATGTTAGGCATAAATATTTTAATCGTATTAAATTCTCTCTCTCTCTCTCTCTCTCTCTCTCTCTCT